AAACCCTGTCTCTACTAAAAATACAAAAATTATCTGGGTGTGATGGCACATGGCTGTAGTCCCAGCTACTTGGGAGGCTGAGGCAGGAGAATTGCTTGACCCGGGAGGCTGAGGTTGTACCATATCACCCCAGCGTGGGTACCAGAGCAAGACTCCATCTCAAAAAAAAAAAGGACCTTATAAATTGGCTTGCCCAGTGGGCTGGGATGACCGGCACATACTGTGGGGAGCTGCTATGTGGAAAGATATTTGGGATAAGCTACAAGAACTCACTGCAAACCTAATTGCGTATCATGTTTCAGCACACCGGTCAGATTCAACCTCCATCCCCCCACCCCTGTAACATGGAGGGTGGTACCCTGGCAAAAATTAGAAACCTGGTTCCGTTGCAATTCTTCTGAGCTAGCTGATTGGCATATAAACACAGTGGGCATCACAGTGCATGAGTGGGCTGGTGAATAGCGAAGGGAGCAGGATTGCCCCTCTGCTATGCAGATTTAGCAGCAGCAGTAACAAATTGTTCAGTTTGCTCCCACCTGTGCCCCCGCTGCATCCCACATAGATCTGGACTCATATGTGAGACAGCCACTCTTGTGAGAGGCTGGCAGATAGACTACAATGGACCCCTGCCAGTGAGCTTGGGATAAAAGTACATACTAACATGGAGATACCACCACAGGATGGTTACAGGCCTTCCCATGTAAAAGGGCAAACCAAATAGCCACCATTAAGGGCTTGGAACAACTCAGTGTCATGTATGGATACCTTTGATGCATTTATAGTGACATAGGCACACGTTTTACTGGGCATGATGTAGAAAGAAAGAAAGAAACCTTAATTTGGTTGAAATACATTCTGTGCTGGCACCATACCAAGGACTCAAGACCACCACTGGGGAGGATCTATTGACCACACTTCTAAAGAAAGTCTGACTAGATGCTGTTGATAAAGATGTATCAAAAAAAAAAAAAAAAAAAAAAAAAGAAAGAAAAAAAGAAAGAAAGGAAAAAGAAAGTCTGATCAGATGCGTTTCTACCAGCCCTGATAACAGGCCAACAGCAAATGTTATTTAGGACTCCCCAAGACCTTGATTTAGGGGAGGGAACACTCGAATGAGGGTTGGACTGGCAACTTCCCCCAGGTTGAACAGGGACTTTATTGCCAAAGAGCAAGGGATTTCCTGGCCAACATAAGTGGTCTGCATTGATCCTGTTGGAGTCTGGGACAGATTGCTTCACATGCCAATGCACTGGAACAAGGCTTCTTTTAAAGGGCACCTTGGTCAGGCATTCTACCTGGTCTTTTGCTGTTCCCGTAACCTTACACATAACACTGGCAACTTCATCCCTTGGGCAACATGTTTGGTATGCACCCCCAGCCTATAATCCTTAGGCTGCCTATATCCTCACTAACAGAGATGAAACTACCACAGTCATTCCACTTGATGGAGAAGAACTCTCCCACCAACTATCTACTAAACACTTGTATTTCCATCCATGGTCTTCTGTTCCTGTTGGTGCTCTGCTCCACAGAAGTAAACCTCTTTCTAGAGTGTGTTTGTCTACCCTTTCATTCTCCCAGTGGCTCTCCTCCTGGTTTGGCTATGGGCAAATGTGGCAACAAAAGGAATTTTAAATTCTGTACCTTCTATTGGACCTATGATATCTTGCCTGTTGCATTGTTGCTGGCACCTCTGCTTAAAACTAGAAAACAAATTGATGCAACATGTCACCCACACCATGGAAATGATTTCACCGTCTCCCCCAAAGGCTCAGGGGCCATCACAGAAGTAGGTGCATCAGATTGTAATGGATGGATTAGAGAGGTGGAGTGTTGGGACCAGAATGACTTTATTTCGGCCGGGTGAGGTGGCTCATGCCTGTAATCCCCACACTTTGGGAGGCTGAGGCAGGTGGATCACCTGAGGTCAGCCTGGCCACTGTGGTGAAACCTGGTCTCTACTAAAAATATAAAAATTAGCCGGACGTGGTGGTAGGTGCCTGTGATCCCAGCTGCTCGAGAGGCTGAGACAGGAGAATTGCTTGGACCCAGGAGGCGGAGATTGCAGTGAGCGGAGATTGTGCCTTTGCACTTCAGCCTGGGTGATGAGAGTGAGACTCCAAGTAAAAACAAAAAACAAAAAACAAAAAAAATTATATATATATAATATATATATAAATTATGTAAAATATATATATATAATTTACACACACACACACACACAAATATTCTAATCCGAGTTACTCAGGAGGCTGAGGCAAGAGAATCGCTTGAATCCAGGAGGCAGAAGTTTCAATGAGCCAACATTGTGCAGCTGCACTCCAGCCTGGGCGATGGGATTCCATCTCAAAAAAAATAAAAGGAGACAAAAGAGATAGTGAATTGTGGTAGGAATTGGTAACGTTAAAATTTTAAATATCGTAGCTAGGCAAGGCCTCTTTCAGAAAGTGTCATTTTGTTTAAATACTTGGAGGCAAGAGCAGGAAGTTACAAAGACTACCTTGCAGTACAGGCAGAAGACAGCACACGCGTAGGCCCTGAAGGGAGCATGCTTGGTGTTTATGAAAAACACAAGGTCGGGCACGGTGGCTCACGCTTTAATCCGAGCACTTTGGGAGGAGGAGGCAGACGGATCCCCTGAGGTCAGGAGTTGGAGACCAGCCTGCCCAACGTGGCAAAAGCCCGTCTCTACTAAAACTACACAAAATTAGCATGGTGTAGTGTACCTGTAATCTCAGCTACTCAGGTGGCTGAGGCAGGAGAATCGCTTGAATGTGGGAGATGGAGGTTGCAGCGAGTTGAGATCGCGCCACTGTACTCCAGCCTGGGCAACAGAGTGTAACTCAGTAAGAAAGAGAAAGAAAGAAGAAAGAAAGAAAAGGAAGAAAGGAAGAAAGAAACAACAAAAAGGCCAGCATGACTGAGGGGAGTCCCAGTTATGGAGGTCAGAGATTCAGTAGTAATTCACAAAGCCATTGCAAGGATTTGTGCTTTCTCCGTGGAATGAAAAGCCATCAGAGGGTTTTGGGATGAGTGATGAGCTTTGCTTCAGGTTTTAGAGAATTGCTTTAGGGCCTGGCGCAGTGGCTCGTGCCCTTAATCCCAACACTTTGGGAGGCCTACTCAGGCAGATAGCTTGAGCCGAGGAGTTTGAGACAAGCCTGGGCAACATGATGAAACATTGTCTGTACAAAAAGTACACTTGGTCAGGCACGGTGGCTCAAGCCTGTAATCCCAGCACTTTGGGAGGCCGAGGCGGGTGGATCACGAGGTCAAGAGATCGAGACCAACGTGGTCAACATGGTGAAACCCCGTCTCTACTAAAAATACAAAAAATTAGCTGGGCATGGTGGCGCGTGCCTGTAATCCCAGCTACTCAGGAGGCTGAGGCAGGAGAATTGCCTGAACCCAGGAGGCAGAGGTTTCGGTGAGCCGCGATCACGCCATTGCACTCCAGCCTGGGTAACAAGAGCGAAACTCCGTCTCAAAAAAAAAAAAAAAAGGCCGGGCGCGGTGGCTCAAGCCTGTAATCCCAGCTCTTTGGGAGGCCGAGGCGGGTGGATCACGAGGTCGAGAGATCGAGACCATCCTGGTCAACATGGTGAAACCTCGTCTCTACTAAAAATACTAAAAATTAGCTGGGCATGGTGGCGTGTGCCTGTAATCCCAGCTACTCAGGAGGCTGAGGCAGGAGAATTGCCTGAACCCAGGAGGCGGAGGTTGCGGTGAGCCAAGAGCGCGCCATTGCACTCCAGCCTGGGCAACAAGAGCGAAACTCAATCTCAAAAAAAAAAAAAAAAAAAAAAAAAAAAAAAAAAAAAAAAAATTTCAGTACAACTCTTTGGTCACAAAGATTGATAATAAGTTTTGTCCAGGTTGGAAGAGATGTGGGGTCCACAGTAAGAGAAGTGCCTGTAAATGGTGGTTAATAAGTCTTGGAATACCGTGGGACCAGGAAGATGAACCTGGAAGGTTCCTAGGAGTTTAGGGCAGAGACTTGAGGTTAGTAGGAAGCAGAGCTCAGTGGAATTTGAGAACTAAGTGGAAGACACGGATTCAGGATTGCCTGAGAAGGCAGAACGATTTGTGTAATTTGTAAGGTTGAAAAGAAAAAATCACCTGCTTTAGCATTATAATATTATATATATATATATATATATATATATTTTTTTTTTTTTTTTTTTTTTTTTTTGAGACGGAGTTTCGCTCTTGTTACCCAGGCTGGAGTGCAATGGGACGATCTCGGCTCACCGCAACCTCTGCCTCCTGGGTTCAGGCAATTCTCCTGCCTCAGCCTCCTGAGTAGCTGGGATTACAGGCACACACCACCGTGCCCAGCTAATTTTTTGTATTTTTAGTAGAGACGGGGTTTCACCATGTTGACCAGGATGGTCTCGATCTCTTGACCTCCTGATCCCCCCGCCTCAGCCTCCCAAAGTGCTGGGATTACAGGCTTGAGCCACCGCGCCCGGCTTATTTTTATTTTTATTTTTATTTTGAGACAGAGTTTCATTCTTGTCACCAGGCTGGAGTGCAATGTCTCGATCTCGGCTCACTCCAACCTTCGCCTCCCAGGTTCAAGCGATTCTCCTGCCCCAGCCTTGAGAGTAGTTGGGATTACCGACACCCACAGGCACGACAACTATGCGTGGCTAATTTTTGTATTTTTAGTAGAGACAGGGTTTCACCATGTTGGCCAGGCTGGTCTCGAACTCGTAACCTCCGGTGGCCCGCCTGTCTCGGCCTCCCAAAGTGCTGGGATTACAAGCATGAGGCACCGCGCCAGGCCAGGTTGTGGGTTTTGACGGGACCATCTCGCTGCCCACGGTTCCCTTTTTCCGTCTGAACAGAAGGGGCCAGAGCAGAGAACTCGGAAGTAGCAAGGCAGGGTGAGGCGGAACAGGGGGGTCTACGAGTCTCGGAGACTCCCGCTTCCGCGTCCGGGCCCCGCCCGTCCCGCCCGATGCCCTTGGCGCGTGATTCGGGCCCCGCCCCTGCTATACGCCATCAGCTCGCGCCGCGCCGCGCCGCCTGGTGTTATTCCGCCCCGCAGGCGGGGCTGTCGGCCTCCTGTTGCCATCTGGTCGGGCTATGGTTCCGACCGGTGTTGTGTAAGTTTTGCAGCCTAGGCTCCTGACACGACCCTGGTCCTGATGGCGGCGGCGGCGGCGGCAGCCCTGGCGCCGGCCGACCCCCCTCCCGCGATGCCGCAGGCGGCAGGAGCTGGAGGGCCCACAGCCCGCAGGGATTTCTACTGGCTGCGCTCCTTTCTGGCCGGAGGTGGGTGCATGCCACGAAGACCCAGCCGCGGTCTGGGTGGCGGGGGCAGGATTGTGGGCGAGTGGGATGCAAGCGGCCTCTATAACATTCCTGGACTCTGGCCGCTTCAATGCTCTGCTAGATGTTTGCCCTGACCTGTTGTAACCTCTTTCTAGTAATCACTTGACTAATGACAGCCAGGTTACGGGGAGTGGGACCTTAGGTACTCCAGCAGAGGCGGGGGTGGTGGAAGGTCTAAATCAGGCACTCATTCTTCAGGGCTGGATAACAGGGAAAAGAGGAAGATCCCTTACAAAGACCCTGGGGTTTTAGTGAGACATTCTGGGCACGCCTTTCTTTTATAAACACCATGAGTGACCCAACGTAGACTTGGATTTCGCTGTTTGCTTAAAGGAAAACAAATATTGAGGGTCAGCTTTTTAATGACGACTGTAAATTGTGCAAAACTGTTTACAGCCAAAACCGGTTCCAGTGATTCTAGTAAACTGTGCCACAGTACTTGACAAGCCCTATTATTGGTGTGATATTGGGATCAAAAGTTTTATATTGTCTCTTAGGAAATTCCTGGGCCTTCAGTCTCCACACTTTCTTAATTACTTCTATGGGTTGTCATCAATTATTTAAGATTCAAAAATCTAAAAATCCCATATTATACTCGTGTGCAGTGGCGCCCTACTGTAGTACCAGCCACTAGGGAAGTTGAGACAGGATGACTGCTTGAGCCTAGGAGATTGAGGCTGCAGTGAGCCATGATCGCACCACTATTCTCCAGCCTGAGCTAGAGAGAAACTCTCTCCTAAAAGAAAATAGTAATAAGAAATCACCAGGCAGGGTGGCTCAAGCCTGTAATACCAGCACTTTGGGCAGCTGAGTTGGGCAGATCACTTGAGGTCAGGAGTTAGAGACCAGCCTGGCCAACATGATGAAACCCTGTCTCTACTACTAAAATACAAAAATTTGCCAGGCGTGGTGGCTCTCACCTGTAATCCTAGCTACTCAGGAGGCTGAGGCAGGAAAATTGCCTGAACGTGGGAGGCAGAGGTTGCAGTGAGCTGAGATCATGCCATTGAACTCCAGCCTGGGGGACAGAACCAGATTCTATCTCAAAACAAACAAACAAAACCCCACATTAAGAGGAATTGTAGAAAGATAATATCTGAAGACTGCAGCAGTATTAATTTTTTGTTGTTGTTTTGAGATAGAGTCTCACTCCCTCACTCAGGCTGAAGTACAGTGGCATGATCTCAGCTCACTGCAACCTCTGTTTCCTGGGTTCAAGTGATTTTCCTGATTCAGCCTCCCAACTTGTTGGGATTACAGGTGAATGCTACCATACCTGGCTACTTTTTTCTTTTTTTGAGATGGAGTCTCACTTGCCCAGGCTGGAGTGCAGTGGCACAATCTCTGCTTACTGCAAGCTCTGCCTCTTGGGTTCAAGTGATTGATTCACCTGCTTCTGCCTCCCAAGTAGCTGGGATTACAGGTGTGCACCACCATGCCCAGTTAATCTCTTGTATTTTTAATAGAGACTGGGTTTCCCCATGTTGCCCAGGCTGGTCTTGAACTCTGGACTTCAAAAAAAAAGTAGGCTGGGCGTGGTGGCTCACTCCTGTAATCCCAGCATTTTGGAGGCCGAGGTGGGTGGATTACGAGGTCAAGAGATTAAGCCCATCCTGGCCAATATGGTGAAATCCCGTCTCTACTAAAATTACAAAAATTAGCTGGGCGTAGTGGCACGTGCCTGTAGTCCCAGCTGCTCGGGAGGCTGAGGCAGGAGAATTGCTTGAACTGGGGAGGCGGAGGTTGCGGGATCACGTCACTGCACTCCATCCAGCCTGGCAACAGAGCGAGACTCCGTCTCAAAAAAAAAAAAAAAAAAAAAACCAAGAATTTTTTTTTTTTTTTTTGAGACGGAGTTTCGCTCTTGTTACCCAGGCTGGAGTGCAATGGTGCGATCTCGGCTCACTGCAACCTCCGCCTCCTGGGTTCAGGCAATTCTCCTGCCTCAGCCTCCTGAGTAGCTGGGACTATAGGCGCACGCCACCATGCCCAGCTAATTTTTTGTATTTTTAGTAGAGACGGGGTTTCCCCATGTTGACCAGGATGGTCTCGATCTCTTGACCTCGTGATCCACCCACCTCGGCCTCCCAAAGTGCTGGGATTACAGGCTTGAGCCACCGCAGCTGGCCAATGTTTGTATTTTTAGTAGGGACAGGGTTTCTCCATGTTGGCCAGGCTGGTCTCAAACTCCTGACTTCAAGTGATTGGTCTCCCTGGTCTCCTGAAGTGCTGGGATTACAGGCATGAGCCACCATGCCCAGGAAAACATGTTTTATATGCTTATTGGCCATGTGTTTTTCTTCATTGCTTAAGTGATAGTTCAAATTTTTGGGAAATGGGTGTAACTTTGAAGATTGTATAGGAGTTCTAGTTCCATGTGATAAGAAGAAATGCCATTTGGGAAGTTACTTAACCTCCCTGTGCTTCAGTTTCTCTATTTTTTCTTTTCTTTTCTTTTCTTTTTTTTTTTTTTTTTTTTGAGGCAGAGTCTTGCTCTGTCACCCAGGCTGGACTGGTGTGATCTTGGTTCATTGCAGTCTCTGCCTTCCAGGTTCAAATGATTCTCCTTCCTCATCCTCCTGAGTAGCTGGGATTACAGGCGCATGCCACCATACCCAGCTAATTTTTGTGTTTTTAGTAGAGATGGGGTTTTGTCATATTGTCCGGGCTGGTCTCGAACACCTGACCTCAAGTGATCAGCCCACCTGGGCCTCCCAAAGTACTGGGATTACAGGACTGAGCCACTGCGCCCAGCCTCTCTCTTTAAAAAATTTTTTGGCTGGGCATGGTGGTTCATGCCTATAATTTCAGCACTTTGGGAGGCTGAGGTGGGCAGAACATGAGGTTAGGAATTTGAGACCAGCCTGGCCAACATGGTGAAACTCCATCTCTACTAAAAATACAAAAAATTAGCCAGGCGTGATGACCCATGCCTGTAATCTTAGCCTCTCTGGAGGCTGAGTCAGGAGAATTGCTTGAACCCAGAAGGTGGAGGTTGTGGTGAGCAGAGATCATGCTATTTCACTCCAGCCTGGGTGACAGCAACTCTCCAACTAAAATAAAACATAAAAAAAATTATTTCTATAGAGACAGGGTTTTGGCTTGTTGCCCAGGCTGGTCTGCAACTCCTGAGCTCAAGCAATCCTTCTGCCTCAGCCTCCCAAAGTTCTGGAATTACAGACATGAGCCACTCTGCTCACCCTTCCCACCCTTAAAATAGAATAAGAATACTTACCTTAGAGGGCTGTTATAATGATTAAATAATGTAATAAAAGCCTTGGTATAGTGCTTTTAGTTAAAGCATAGTACCTGGTACAAAGTTGACTCCTTGTTAGCAGTGACCTTGTGCAAATCTCTGTCCTTTAGTTGCTCAATCTCAAAAGGAAGATAAAAGCTACCTGACCTAAATCAGTGGAATGTTGAGATGATTAGTTAAGTTCTTTTTTTTTTTTTTTTGAGACGGAGATTCGCTCCTTACCCAGGCTGGAGTGCAATGGCGCAATCTCGGCTCACCGCAACCTCCGCCTCCTGGGCTCAGGCAATTCTCCCGCCTCAGCCTCCTGAGTAGCTGGGACTACAGGCACGTGCCACCATGCCCAGCTAGTTTTTTGTATTTTTAGTAGAGACGGAGTTTCACCATGTTGACCAGGATGGTCTCGATCTCTCGACCTTGTGATCCACCCGCCTCGGCCTCCCAAAGTGCTGGGATTACAGGCTTGAGCCACCGTGCCCGGCCTTTGATTAGTTAAGTTCTAAGGTACGGTAGTCTTCTGTTATCTGAAGGGAATATATTCTTTTTTTTTTTTTTTTTTTTTTTTTAAGACGGAGTTTCGCTCTTGTCACCCAGGCTGGAGTGCAATGGTGCGATCTCGGCTCACCGCAACCTCCGCCTCCTGGGTTCAGACAATTCTCCTGCCTCAGCCTTCTGAGTAGCTGGGATTACAGGCATGTGCCACCATGCCCAGCTACTTTTTTTTTTTTTGTATTTTTAGTAGAGACGGGGTTTCACCATGTTGACCAGGATGGTCTCGATCTCTTGACCTCGTGATCCACCCGCCTCGGTCTCCCAAAGTGCTGGGATTACAGTTTTGAGCCACCGCGCCCAGCCTCTTTTTTTTTTTTTGAGGACGAGTTTCGCTCTTGTTACCCAGGTGGGAGTGCAATGGCGCGATCTCGGCTCACCGCAACCTCCGCCTCCTGGGTTCAGGCAATTCTCCTGCCTCAGCCCCCTGAGTAGCTGGGATTACAGGCACGTGCCACCATGCCCAGCTAATTTTTTGTATTTTTAGTAGAGATGGGGTTTCACCATGTTGACCAGGATGGTCTCGATCTCTCGACCTTGTGATCCACCTGCCTCGGCCTCCCAAAGTGCTGGGATTACAGGCTTGAGCCACTGCGCCCAGTGGTCTCAATCTCTTGACCTCGCAATCCACCCGCCTCGACCTACCAAAGTGCTGGGATTACAGGCCTAAGCCACCGTGCCTGGCTTCTTTTTTTTTTTTTGAGACAGTCTCTCGCTCTGTCGTCCAGGCTGGAGTGCAGCGGTGTAATCTTGGCTCACTGCAACCTCTGCCTCCCAGGTTCAAGCAATTCTCCTGCCTCAGCCTCCTGAGTAGCTGGGATTACAGGTGTGTGCCACCATGCCTGACTAATTTTTAAATTTTTATTAGAGATGGTGTTTTACTGTGTTGGTCAGGCTGGTATTGAGCACTAAAGGAAATATATTCTAAGATCCCTAGTGGATGCCTAAAACTGGGGATAGTACTAAACCCTATATATGCTATGTTTTTCCCTATACATACATATATACCTATGATAAATTTAATTTCTAAATTAGTCACAGTAAAGAGATTAACAACAGTAACCGATAAAATAGAACAATTTTATTTTATTTTTTTCTTCTGGATCTTTCATTATGTAAGTAAATAGAACAATTTTAACAATATACTATAATAAAAGTTATATGAATGGGGTCTTTTAGTCTCTCTCAGAGTATTTTATGGTACTGTACTTACCCTTCTGCCTGTGATGTTGTGAGTTAATAAAATACTTATGTGATAAGATATGAGATGAATGACATAGACATTGTGATTCAGGGTTTAAAACTTATGAATTGTTTCTTCTTTTGCTTTCTTTCTTTTTGAGACAAATTCTTGCTCTGTCGCCCAGGTTGGAGTCTTGGCTCACTGAAACCTCTGCCTCCCGGGTTTGAGGGATTCTGCTACCTCAGCCTCCCAAGTAGCTGCGATTAGAGGCATGTGCCACCACACTCAGCTAATTTTTGTATTTTTAGTAGAGACAGGATTTCACCGTCTTGGCCAGACTGGTCTTGAATTCCTGATCTTAAGTGATCTGCCCACCTTGGCTTCCCAGAGTGCTGGAATTACAGTTGTGAGCCACTGCTCCTGGACTTGTTTTTTTTTTTTTTTTTTTTTTGAGACGGAGTTTTGCTCTTGTTACCCAGGCTGGAGTGCAATGGCGCGATCTCGGCTCACCGCAACCTCCGTCTCCTGGGTTCAGGCAATTCTCCTGCCTCAGCGTCCTAAGCAGCTGGGATTACAGGCACGCACCACCATGCCCAGCTAATTTTTTGTATTTTTAGTAGAGACGGGGTTTCACCATGTTGACCAGGATGGTCTCGATCTCTCGACCTCGTGATCCACCCGTCTCGGCTTCCCAAAGTGCTGGGATTACAGGCTTGAGCCACCGCGCCCGGCTCTGGACTTGTTTTTTAAAGACAGGATCTTGCTCTGTTACCCAGGGTAGAGTGTAGCTGCACAATTATACCTCTCTGTGACCTCCAACTCTGGGCTCAAGTGGTCCTCCTGCCTTAGCCTCCAAATATTGATTCAAATCACCATGCCTGCCTAATTTTTTTGTCTATTTATTATTATTATTTTGATTTTTTTTTTTTTTTTTTTTTTTTTTGAGACGGAGTTTCGCTCTTGTTACTCAGGCTGGAGTGCAATGACGCGATCTCGGCTCACCGCAACCTCCGCCTCCTGGGTTCAAGCAATTCTCCTGCCTCAGCCTCCTGAGTAGCTGGGATTACAGGCACGTGCCACCATGCCCAGCTAATGTTTTGTATTCTTAGTAGAGACGGGGTTTCACCATGTTGACCAGGATGGTCTCGATCTCTCGACCTCGTGATCCACCCGCCTAGGCCTCCCAAAGTGCTGGGATTACAGGCTTGAGCCACAGCGCCCGTCCTATTATTATTATTTTGAGATGGAATTTTGCTCTTGTCACCCATGCTGGAGTGCAGTGGCATGATCTTGGCTCACTGCAACTTCCACCTCCTGGGTTCAGGCAGTTCTCCTGCCTCAGCCTCCCTAATAGCTGAGATTATAGGTGCCTGCCATCACACCCAGCTAAATTTTGTATTTTTAGTAGAGATGGGGGTTTTGCCATGTTGGCCAGCCTGGTCTTGAACTCCTGACTCAGGAGATCTGCCCATTTCAGCCTCCCAAAGTGCTGGGATTACAGGCATGAGCCACTGCACCTGGCCAATTAAAAAATTTTTTTGGTAGAGATGAGGTCTCACTGTGTTGCCCAGGCTGGTCTCAAACTCCTAGCCTCAAGTAATTTTTCCACTTTGGCTTCCCAAAGTACTGGGATTACAGGCGTAAGGTACTGTGCCTGGCCTATTATTCATCTTTTTATAAGAGTATCAACCCAGTTTATCAAGTCATTACTACATGTACAGTATTGCAGAGAAGTCTATATTATCACTGTAGAAGCATGCCAACGTAGAAGGGCTGGCCTGGACTCTGACCTATGCCAAAGCCCATGTATGGATTTTATTCTGCTTTCATCTGTACTTCTGCCCATTGGCACATTGTAGGGTCCAAGTACATATTTGCTGAATGTATAAGTGAATGACTAATTTTATGGGTAAAACTTGATTGTTTCAATGAAAAATTCATCCAGAAGAGGAGGTTACTTCGAACAGAACCTGGCAGTTGGGTAAATACCTCTAAGTGTGTGTCTCCATAACTACATTTTAGCAAGATCCCCAGTTTCATCAAATATTAGGTGCTGACTTACACAACTAAACCTATTTTAGTAGTGTAATCATACTAAGTTACAGGAAATGGGGACCAGTCATCTGTATATCCTTGCAGTGGGTAGATTTTCTCATGGTGACTAAATTAGAGATCAGAGGGTTTGCTGGCTGAACAAATAATGATTTCCATTTGGAAAGAAATGGTATGCAATTTCTTCCTGACTTTTTGAAAAATTTTTAGGTATTGCTGGATGCTGTGCCAAAACAACAGTTGCCCCATTGGATCGAGTAAAAGTTTTATTACAAGCTCACAATCACCATTACAAGCATTTAGGTGAGTTAATAGATGCTAAAGAAAAAAAAATGCAAAAAAAAAAATAGATGCTAAAGATAAAAATCAATAAAAATATTTTGGAAAGTGGACGAAAAATGGAATTTAAGTTTGGGGGCAAATTTGTTCTTTTCTTTTTCTCTGTAGATTCAGAAACTGGAAAGGGGGCAAATTTTCCAAATAATGTATTTCTTATCTATTGTAATCCTTTGATTTCCAGTAATGGTTATATATATTATCATTTTAGGAAGCTGATATTTTCCTAGCCCAAATCTTGGAATCATTGAAGTAAATATGTGTTTATTGGGATTAATGAATCATTGTTCATAGACATATTTGACAGCTCAGTCTGATTTTTTTTTTTTTTTTTCTTTTTTTTGAGACGGAGTTTCACTCTTGTTACCCAGGCTGGAGTGCAATGGCGCGATATCGGCTCACCGCAACCTCCGCCTCCTGGGTTCAGGCAATTCTCCTGCCTCAGCCTCCTGAGTAGCTGGGATTACAGGCACGCGCCACCATGGCCAGCTAATTTTTTGTATTTTTAGTAGAGACGGGGTTTCACCATGTTGACCAGGTTGGTCTCGATCTCTTGACCTTGTGATCCACCCACCTCGGCCTCCCAAAGTGCTGGGATTACAGGCTTGAGCCACCGCGCCCGGCCCTCTCAGTCTGATTTTTTAAATGCAATTAGAGATGGAGATGAAATTTGAAAGTGTAAAATTGAAATAATTACTCCTTAAGAAAAATTTTTTTACAAGTGCATTGACTTCTTTTTTTCAGATGAAGTCTCACTTTATTACCCAGGCTAGAGTGCAGCGGTGCAATCTTGGCTCACTGCAACTTCTGCCTCCAGGGTTTGAGCAATTCTCCTGTCTCAGCCTCTTGAGTAGCTGGGACTTACAGGCATGCATCATCATTCCCAGCTAATTTTTGTATTTGTAGTAGAGATGATGGGGTTTCACCATATTGGCTAGGATGGTCTCCATTTCTTGACCTTGTGATTTGCCCACCTTGGCCTCCCAAAATGCTGGGATTACAGACATGAACCACTGCGCCTGGCCCCAACTGCGTTTTTAAAGTGTCATTGTTACAAACCTGAATGGATATTTATGCAGTATATTAATTGTAACTCATTTTCTTGTCAATATTTTTATTTTTATTTTTGAGACAGTTTTGCTCTATCGCCCAGGCTGGAGTGCAGTGGCGTGATCTTAGCTCACGGCAACCTCTGCCTCCTGGGTTCAAGCAGTTCTCCAGTGTCAGCCTCCTGAGTAGCTGGGATTACAGGTGTGTACCACTTTGTCCAGCTGATTATTGTATTTTTGGTAAAGACAGGGTTTCACCATGTTAGCCAGGCTGGTTTCTTTCTTTCTTTCTTTTTTTTTTTTTGAGATGGACTTTTGCACTTCTTGCCCAGGCTGGAGTGTGATGGTGCGATCTCAGCTCACTGCAATCTCTGCCTCCTGGGTTCAGGCGAGTCTCCTGCCTCAGCCTTCCAAGTAGCTGGGATTACAGGCATGTGCCACCAAGCCCAGCTAATTTTGTATATTTAGTAGAGATGGGGTTTCTCCATGTTGGTCAGGCTGGTCTCAAACGCCCGACCTCAGGTAATCCTCCTGCCTCGGCCTTCCAAAGTGCTGGGATTATAGGCGTGAGCTACCGTGCCCGGCCCTTTCTTATTTTTTATTGAAAAAAAAAGAGAAAGAGGCTGGGCACGGTGGCTCACGCCTGTAATCCCAGCACTTTGGGAGGCCGAGGCGGATAGATCACGAGGTCAAGAGATCGAGACCATCCTGGTCAACATGGTGAAACCCTGTCTCTACTAAAAAATACAAAAATTAACTGGGCATGGTGGTGCGTGCCTGTAATTCCAGCTACTCAGGAGGCTGAGGCAGGAGAATTGCCTGATCCCAGGAGGCGGAGGTTGCAGTGAGCCGAGATCGCGCCATTGCACTCCAGTCTGGGTAATAAGAGCAAAACTCCTCCTTAAAAAAAAAAAAAAAAAAAAAAGAGAAAGAGTAGGTCTTATTTGTTACCGAAGCTGGTCTGCCAACCTGGTGAAACCCTGTTGCTACCAAAAATACAAAAATTAGCTGGGTGTGGTATCAGTTACCTGTAATCTTTGCTACTTGGGAGGCGGGGGCAGGAGAATTGCTTGAACACAGGAGGCAGAGGTTGCAGTGAGCCAAGACTGTGCCACTGCTCTCCAGCCTGGGCAATAAGTAAGATCCCATCTTAATTGAAAAAAATAAATTAAATATGTGTGGTGGCATGTTCCTGTAGTCCCAGCTACTTTTGGGAGGCTGAGGTGGGAGGCTTGCTTGAGCCCAAGAATTTGAGGCTGCAGTGAGGTTTGATTGTGCCACTGTACTCCAGCCTGGGCGGCAGAGTGAGTCTGCCTCAAAAAAAAGAAAGAAAGAATTAGAAGTTTGAACTTACTGAGAGATTATGAAAAGCTGGAAGGAGGAAATTATTTTGTTTTGTTGTCTAAGTTGAGGGCAAAATGGAGATGAATGGTATTACATCTTGGGGTGTTTTACAGTGACCCTGCATATCAGTGTCTGAACAGGATTCTTTTATTCCTTTAACCTCCTCCTCGTGCTGATGTATGTTGTTTTGTTTCCTGATTTGTAATCATCAGGTTACATATTCACATTAGATTTCACGCTCTATAGGCCTGCATGCCATGCATTATAGTGTATCCTGGTTACAGTATACCCTACAAGGCATACAAAATTTGGAGTAGAATTCCTAGAGTGCAACAATAATTTTTTTTTTTCAAGATAGAATCTGATACTGTTGCTCAGGCTGGAATGCAGTGGCATGATCTTGGCTTACTGCAACCTCTACCTCCCCGGTTCAAGCGATTCTCCTGCCTCAGCTTCCCGAGTAGGTGGGATTACAGGTGCCTATCACCACACCAAGCTGATCTTTGTATTTGTAGTAGAGACAGGGTTTCACCATGCTGCCCATATTGGTCTTGAACCCACCTCGGCCTCTCAAAGTACTGGGTTTACAGGCTTGAGCCACTGCAACCGGCAACAATGAGCTATTAGTAGTATCTGGAGTGTCCTCTGTCTTTAATATATACATACCCCCTCAAAAAAATAAATCTGTATTGGTGGCTTTTAATTTAATTAATTAATTTATTAATTTATTTTGAGACCGAGTTTCACTCTTGTCGCCCAGGCTGGAGTGCAATGGTGCAATGTTGGCTCACTGCAACCTCTGCCTTCTCTGAAGAAACTGGAATTACAGGGGCCTGCCACCACGCCTGGCTAATTTTTTGTATTTTTAGTAGAGGCGGAGTTTCACTGTCTTTGCCAGGCTGGTTTCCAACTCCCCGCCCACTTCGGCCTCCCAAAGTGCTGGGATTACAGGAGTGAGCCACCGAGCCCGGCCTTAATTAATTTTATTTTAAAATGTTCTTATGCATTTTATTCCAGGTACCTCCCCACGTTTTTAGGTGTAAGATAGTTTTAAAAATTATTCTTTTTTTTAAAATAAGAATTATAACTCCTGGCCGGGCGTGGTGGCTCACGCCTCTAATCCCAGCACTTTGGGAGGCTGAGGCGGTTGGATCACGAGGTCAAGAGATCGAGACCATCCTGGTCAACATGGTGAAACCCCGTCTTTACTAAAAATACAAAAAATTAGCTGGGCATGGTGGTGTGTGCCTGTAATCCCAGCTATTCAGGAGGCTGAGGCAGGAGAGTTGCCTGAACCTAGGAGGCAGAGGTTGCAGTGAGCCGAGATCGCGCCATTGCACTCCAGCCTGGGTAACAAGAGCGAAACTCCGTCTCAAAAAAAAAAAACCAATTATAACTCCTTATAAAACTATAATTTTACTTTAATTTTTTTTTTTTTTTTTTTTTTTTTTTTTTTAAAGATGGGGTTTTGCCGGGCGAGGTGGCTCAAGCCTGTAATCCCAGCACTTTGGGAGGCTGAGGTGGGTGGATCACGAGGTCGAGAGATCGAGACCATCCTGGTCAACATGGTGAAACCCCGTCTCTACTAAAGATACAAAAAATTAGCTGGGCATGGTGGCACGTGCCTGTAATCCCAGCTACTCAGGAGGCTGAGGCAGGAGAATTGCTTGAACCCATGAGGCGGAGGTTGCGGTGAGCTGAGATTGCGCCATTGCACTCCAGCCTGGGTAACAAGAGCGAAACTCCGTCTTAAAAAAAAAAGAAAAAAAGATGGGGTTTCACCATGATGGCCAAGCTGGTCTTGAACTCCTGACCTCAGGTGGTCCACCCACCTCGGCCTCCCAAAGTGCTAGGATTACAGGCATGAGCCACAGCGCCCAGACTAAAAAAATTATTTTTTTAAAAAAGTTTTTGATTAGCTGGGCATGGTGGCACGTGCCTGTAATCCCAGCTACTTGGGAGGCTGAGGCAGGAGAATTGCCTGAACCCAGGAGGCGGAGGTTGTGGTAAGCCGAGATCGCGCCATTGCACTCCAGCCTGGGTAACAAGCGAAACTCCGTCTCAAAAATAAATAAATAAAAAATAAAAATTTGGCCGGGCACATTGAAAAAAAAAAAAAAAAAAAGTTTTTGAGATATAGTTTTACTCTTGTCACCCAAGCTGGAGTGCTATGGTGCGATATCAGTTTGCTCAACCTTGGCCCTCCAGGTTGAAGCAGTTCTCCTGCCTCAGCCTCCCATGTAGCTAGGAGTACAGGCGCATGCTACCACACCCAGCTTATTTATTTATTTATATTTTTATTTATTTATTTTTTAGACAGAGTCTTGCTCTGTTGCCCAGGCTGGAGTGCAGTGGTGCAACCTCAGCTCACTGCAATCTCTGTCTCCTGGATTCAAGTGATTTTCCTGCCTCAGCCTTCTGATTAGCTGGGATTATGGGTGTGCACCACCCATAATCCCAGCTAATCCCGGCCTTTGTTCATATTATAAGGAAGGAGTATATTTAAAATTTCTCCTGGTCCCCATTTGTTTTGTTTTTTTGAGATAGAGTTGGCCAGGCACGGTGGCTCAAGCCTGTAATCCCAGCACTTTGGGAGGCCGAGGCGGGTGGATCACAAGGTCAAGAGATCGAGACCATCCTGGTCAACATGGTGAAACCCCGTCTCTACTAAAAATACAAAAAATTAGCTGGGCATGGTGGCGCGTGCCTGTGATCCCAGCTACTCAGGAGGCTGAGGTGGGAGAATTGCCTGAACCCGGAGTTGGAGGTTGCGGTGAGCCGAGATCGCTCCATTGCACTCCAGCCTGGGTAACGAGCGAAACTCCGTCTCAAAAAAAAAAAAAAAAAATAGAGATAGAGTTTCACCCTTGTTGTCCATGCTGGAATGCAGTAGTGTGATCTCGGCTCACTGAAACTTCTGACACCTGGGTTCAAACAGTTCTCTTGCTTCTGCCTCCCCAGTAGCTGGGATTACAGGCACCCGCCACCACGTCCAGCTAATTTTTCTTTATAGTAGAGACAGGATTTCACTATGTTGGTCAGGCTGGTCTCGAACTCCTGACCTTAAGTGATCTGCTGCCTCTGTCTCCCAAGTGCTGGAATTACAGACATGAGCCACAGCACCTGGCCCCTTTTTTAGAAGTGCTGTATCTGCTGGGTGCAGTGGCTCACGCCTGTAATCTCAGCACTTTTGGGAGGCCGAGGCGGTTAGATCATGAGGTCAGGAGATTGAGATCATCCTGGCCAACATGGTGAAACCCTGCCTCTACTAAAAATACAAAAATTAGCTGGGTGTGGTGATGCATGCCTCTAATTCCATCTGCTCATGAGGCTGAGTAGTAGAATCACTGAACCCAGGAGGTGGAGGTTGCTGTGACCCAGATCACGCCACTGCTCTCCAACCTAGTCACAGAGCGAGACTTTTTTTTTTTTTTTTTTTTTTTTTTTGAGACGGAGTTTCGCTCTTGTTACCCAGGCTGGAGTGCAATGGCACGATCTCGGCTCACCGCAACCTCCGCCTCCTGGGTTCAGGAAATTCTCCTGCCTCAGCCTCCGGAGTAGCTGGGATTACAGGCACGCACCACCATGCCCAGCTAATTTTTTGCACCTTTAGTAGAGACGGGGTTTCACCATGTTGACCAGGATGTTCTCGATCTCTTGACCTCGTGATCCACCCGCCTCGGCCTCCCAAAGTGCTGGGATTACAGGCCTGAGCCACCGCGCCCGGCGTAGAGCGAGACTTTAAAAAAAAAAAATTTGTGACAATAAAAACATCTTTTTCTTTTCTTTTTTTTTTTTTGTTATTATTTTTTAAGATGGAGTTTCACCATGATGGCCAGGCTGGTCTTGAACTCCTGACCTCAAGTGATCCACCCACCTTGGCCTCCCAAAGTGCTAGGATAACAGGCGTGAGCCACGGCACCCAGCCACAATAAAAATATTTTAAGTAATAACATAAGAAACATATGTAGATCTACAATAGCACTTTGGAAATAAACATTGTCAGTGTAGTTGACACCCCCTTGGCACCTCTACCTTATCATTAGCCTTCCTGTGTCTGCTAGGTAATCATTGTTCTAAATTTGATCACCCTTTAATTGTTACAAATACTTCTTTTTTTTTTTTTTCTTGAGATGGGGTTTCACCATATTGGCCAGGTTGGTCTCGAACCGCTGACTTCAGGTGATCTGCCCGCCTCCGCCTCCCAAAGTGCTGGGATTACAAGTGTGAGCCACCGCACCCGCTATTACAAATACTTTTGAATCAAATTAAATAGGACTTAACCTTTTGTTTCTGCTTCCTGCAAGAGGAAGTCGTGTTCCCCTCCCCCGCCACTTCCCTGCAGATGGGAGAAGGGGTAGCCAGGAGGAAATTTTAATAGAATATCCATGTTTTGTATCCTCTGTTCTCTTGATGAATTGACACTTGTATTGGTATGAGCTGTTCTTTGTGTTGTTATAGTCATGCGTTTTAATTTTTACATATGTCATAAAATCCAGAATGCATTACCGTAATTTTTGTTCAAACAAGCAATTACCTTTTTTGTTAATTTGTTTTTTTGAGGTGGAGTCTTACTGTACCACCCAGGCTGGAGTGCAGTGGCGGGATCTCGGCCCTGCAACCTCTGCCTCCCAGTTCAAGCAATTCTCCTGCTTCAGCCTTCCGAGTAGCTGGATTTACAGGCCCAGGACACCATGCCTGCCTAATTTTTGTATTTTTAGTAGAGACAGGGTTTTACCATGTTGCCCAAATTCCTGACCTCAGGTGATCCACCTGCCTTGGCCTCCCAAAGTGCTGGGATTACAGCCACTGTGCCTGGCCAGAATTATTATTATTATTTTTTTTAGACGGAGTTTTGCTCTTGTTACCCAGGCTGGAGTGCAATGGCGCGATCTCAGCTCACCGCAACCTCCGCCTCCTGGGTTCAGGCAATTCTCCTGCCTCAGCCTCCTGAGTAGCTGGGATTACAGGCACATGTTACCATGGCCAGCTAATTTTTTGTATTTTTAGTAGAGACGGGGTTTCACCATGTTGACCAGGATGGTCTCGATCTCTTGACCTCGTGATCCACCCGCCTCGGCCTCCCAAAGTGCTGAGATTACAGGTTTGAGTCACCGCGCCCCGCCAGAATTTTTCTTAACAAAATGTTAGTCCATTTATATATATGCTTATTATAAAATACTTCTGGGATATATCTTTTGGATGTTAATAAGTACCTGCAATTTATCCTTCCAGATAGATTGTCTTCAGTTCAAACGTGGACATTGCATATATTTCTGTTGTTAATATTTTAGATTGCTGCAGTTTAATATAATTTGCTATAGTTACAAATTAAATTTGCTATAATTTGTAGTTGTTTCTACGGTAGGTTTTATATTACATGAGGTGTGCTTTTTTATCTAATTTGGATATATGATGTATTTTTAGTAGGTTTAACTGTTTTATAGAAATTACTATTCATGTAATCCTTCAAGCAAAATTATCCTGAGTGATAGCACAATTATCTTTATTTGTACTTATCACAGATTTAGATAATTTTCTCTTTTTTAACAGCATTTTTCTTCAAAAACAGGAGTATTTTCTGCATTGTTTGCTGTTCCCCGAAAAGAAGGATTCCTTGGATTGTATAAAGGAAATGGTGCAATGATGATTCGAATCTTTCCCTATGGCGCAATCCAGTTTATGGCATTTGAGCATTATAAAACGGTAAACTTTGATCTTTTCTCTTTTGCATTCTTGAATATTGTGCACGCTTGACCAGGCATTTGCTTTGGACATTTAAAAATACATGAAAGTTGGCCGGGCGCGGTGGCTCAAGCTTGTAATCCCAGCACTTTGGGAAGCCGAGGCGGGTGGATCACGAGGTCGAGAGATCGAGACCATCCTGGCCAACATGGTGAAACCCCGTCTCTACTAAAAATACAAAAAATTAGCTGGGCATGGTGGCACGTGCCTGTAATCCCAGCTACTCAGGAGGCTGAGGCAGGAGAATTGCCTGAACCCAGGAGGCGGAGGTTGCGGTGAGCCGAGATCGCGCCATTGCACTCCAGCCTGGGTAACAAGAGCGAAACTCCGTCTCAAAAAAAAAAAAAAAAAAAAAATACATGAAAGTTTCATAGTTTTAAAAAGTTAAATTATTATTTTTTTTAATTTTTGAGACTGAATCTCGCTGCCCAGGCTGGAGTGCAACGGCATGATCTTGGCTCACTGCAACCTGTGCCTCCTGAGTTCAAGTGATTCTCCTGCCTCAGCCTCCTGAGTGACTGGGATTACAGGCCTGTGCCACCATGCCTGACGAATTTTGTATTTTTAGCAGAGATGCGGTTTTGCCATCTTGGCCAGGCTGGTCTTGAACTCCTGGCCTCAAGTGATCCTGTTCTTCCAAAGTGTTGCGATTACAGGCGTGATCCATGGTACCAGGCCAAAAAGTTACTTTTTTTTTTTTTTTGAGACGGAGTTTCGCTCTTGTTACCCAGGCTGGAGTGCTATGGCGTGATCTCAGCTCACCGCAACCTCCGCCTCCTGGGTTCAGGCAATTCTCCTGCCTCAGCCTCCTGAGTAGCTGGGATTAAAGGCACACGCCACCATGCCCAGCTAATGTTTTGTATTTTTAGTAGAGACGGGGTTTCACCATGTTGACCAGGATGGTCTCGATCTCTTGACCTCGTGATCCACCCGCCTCAGCCTCCCAAAGTGCTGGGATTACAGGCTTGAGCCACCGTGCCCGGCCTCTTTTTTATTTATTATTTACTATTATTATTATTTTAAAGATGGGGTTTTACCATGATGGCCACGCTGGTCTTGAACTCCTGACCTCAGGTGATCCACCAACCTCGGCCTCCCAAAGTGCTAACATTATAGGCGTCAGCCACCATGCCTGGCCCCAGCTGAGTAAATTCTTCATGGTCATTCTTTTTTTGCAGCGGTGCAATCTCAGCTCACTGCAGCCTCTGTCTCTTGGGTTCAAGCGATTCCTGCGTCAGCTTCCTGAGTAGCTGGGATTACAGGCGCCCACCACCACACCCAGCTAAGTTTTGTATTTTTTTTTTTTTTTTTTTTTTTTTTTTGAGACGGAGTTTAGCTCTTGTTACCCAGGCTGGAGTGCAATGGCGCGATCTCGGCTCACCGCAACCTCCGCCTCCTGGGTTCAGGCAATTCTCCTGCCTCAGCCTCCTGAGTAGCTGGGATTACAGGCACACGCCACCATGCCCAGCTAATTTTTTGTATTTTTAGTAGAGACGGGGTTTCACCATGTTGTCCAGGTTGGTCTCGATCTCTCGACCTTGTGATCCACCCGCCTCGGCCTCCCAAAGTGCTGAGATTACAGGCTTGAGCCACCGCGCCCGGCCCTAAGTTTTGTATTTTTATTAGAGATGGGGTTTCACTGCATTGGCCAGGCTGGTCTTCAACTCCTGACCTTGTGATCCATCCTCCCACCTCAGCCTCCCAAAGTGCTAGGATTACAGGCATGAGCCACTGCCTATGCTTACTCTTAATGAATGAAACCTAGAGTATCTTTAAAGAAGATAAAAATAGCCAGGCGCGGTGGCTCAAGCCTGTAATCCCAGCACTTTGGGAGGCTGAGGCGTGTGGATTACGAGGTCAAGAGATTGAGACCATCCTGGTCAACATGGTGAAACCCCGTCTCTACTAAAAATGCAAAAACATTAGCTGGGCATGGTGGTGCGTGCCTGTAGTCCCAGCTACTCAGGAGGTTGAGGCAGGAGAATTGCCTGAACCCAGGAGGCGGAGGTTGCGGTTAGCCGAGATCGTGCCATTGCAATCCAGCTTGGGTAACAAGAATGAAACTCCGTCTCAAAAAAAAAAAAAAACAAAAAAACGGGCCGGGCGCGGTGGCTCAAGCCTGTAATCCCAGCACTTTGGGAGGCTGAGGCGGGTGGATCACGAGGTTGAGAGATCGAGACCATCCTGGTCAACCTGGTGAAACCCCCGTCCCTACTAAAAATAGAAAAAATTAGCTGGGCATGGTGGCATGTGCCTGTAATCCCAGCTACTCAGGAGGCTGAGGCAGGAGAATTGCCTGAACCCAGGAGGCGGAGGTTGCGGTGAGCCGAGATCGTGCCATTGCATTCCAGCCTGGGTAACAAGAGCGAAACTCCGTTTCAAGAAAAAAACGAAAAAAAAACCAACAGTGAAATGGGCAGGATTTTAAAAATATCTCATTTAATTCAGTGTTCTTGTTTTCTAGCTTATTACTACAAAGCTGGGAGTTTCAGGTCATGTGCATAGATTAATGGCTGGATCCATGGCAGGTAAGAGGTGTTAGGTATATTTTATTTCTGACAAATTAATTTTGTATTAAAAGACTTGATTTGGTTTAGGTTATATGTGTGGCATTAGGGAAAGCACAGATTGCAGGTGTCCTGTATTTTTTTTCCTGTGTGCATCCTTAAAAAAAAGAAACGTATTTTTTTTAAAAAGTGTGACATTGATTTAATCGCACACATTTGTTGTTTTTTTATACTCAGTTATATGTGAAATCATTAGTACCCCAACTGGAAAAGAGTCTTTTTATAGTAGATGAGGAATAGTCTCAAAACTGTGTGAAAAGCTTGCATTCTCTTTGACAATTCTAATTTTGGAAATTTTTAAAAATTGAAAAAATGTTTTTGAAGGCTAGTCATGTAACACAGTGGGAGTGGAGAAAAACAAAGAAACCTGTAACTTACTGTGATCCATGAGTTTTTTTTTTTTTTTTTTTTTTTTTTTTGAGACGGAGTTTCGCTCTTGTTACCCAGGCTGGAGTGCAATGGCACGATCTCGGCTCACCGCAACCTCCGCCTCCTGGGCTCAGGCAATTCTCCTGCCTCAGCCTCCTGAGTAGCTGGGATTACAGGCACGCGCCACCATGCCCAGCTAATTTTTTGTATTTTTAGTAGAGACGGGGTTTCACCATGTTGACCAGGTTGGTCTCGATCTCTCGACCTTGTGATCCACCCGCCTCGGCCTCCCAAAGTGCTGGGATTACAGGCTTGAGCCACCGCGCCCGGCCTGATCCATGAGTTTTAATCACCACTGTACCTCATTTGGATTAGCCATTACTTTTCAAAATTTATGTTTTCTCTTTTTTTTTTAATTCTTTATCTTTTTTCTTTAAAAAGATTGTAAAAAATTATAATGACTATAGTAATAAATACTCCTATACAGTAAAAATAGTTGCATTCTCTAAGACAACCACCATTAGCCATTCCTTTTCTTCCCCTTTCCTCTCCTTTCCTTTCCTTCTTCTCTCCCCTCCCCCCATCTCTTCTCCTCCCTTCCTCTCTTTTCCTCTCTTCTTTTTTGAGACAGGATCTGGCTCTGTTGCCCAGCCTGGAGTGCAGTGGTATGACCACAATTCACTGCAACCTTCACCTCCCAGGCTCAAGCCATCCTTCTATCTCAACCTCCCAGAAGTATCTGGGACTACAGGCCATGCCATCACACTGAGCTAATTTTTATATTTTCTGTAGAGATGGGCTTTTGTCATGTTGCCCTGGCTGGTCTCAAACTCCTCAAACCTGACCTATTTCAGTTTTTTAAGTATTCATTTTTATGAGTTTGGGAATTAGGACATTAGTTGTTTTTCTGTGAGAGATTGGTAATATTTTATTTCCCAGTTTTAGATTTGACTTGGTTTTATGATTAAAAAAAAACAATCATTGAAAATTTTTTTCCCTATGCAGAAGTTTTACATGGCCAAACATGTTAGTTTTTCCTCTCTTGCTTCTTAATTTTGTGTTTTGTTTAGAAATTCCCTCCCCGGCCGGGCGCGGTGGCTCAAGCCTGTAATCCCAGCCCTTTGGGAGGCCGAGGCGGGTGGATCACGAGGTCGAGAGATCGAGACCATCCTGGTCAACATGGTGAAACCCCGTCTCTACTAAAAATACAAAAAATTAGCTGGGCATGGTGGCGTGTGCCTGTAATCCCAGATACTCAGGAGGCTGAGGCAGGAGAATTGCCTGAACCCAGGAGGCGGAGGTTGCGGTGAGCCGAGATCGCGCCATTGCACTCCAGCCTGGGTAACAAGAGTGAAACTCCGCCTCAAAAAAAAAAAAAAAAAAAAAAAGAAAAAAAGAAATTCCCTCCCCATTCTAAGATAAAGACATTTAGTCATGCTTCCTACTAAAAGTATTTGTTTTGGCCATGTTGATCTTATGTTTACTTTTTTTTTTTTTTTTTTTTGAGGTGGAGTTTTGTTCTTGTTACTCAGGCTGGAGTGCAATGGCGCAATCTCGGCTCACCGCAACCTCCGCCTCCTGGGTTCAGGCAATTCTCCTGCCTCAGTCTCCCGAGTAACTGGGATTACAGGCATGCGCCACCATGCCCAGCTAATTTTTTGTATCTTTAGTAGAGACAGGGTTTCACCATGTTGACTAGGATAGTCTTGATCCCTTGACCTGGTGATCCACCCGCCTCAGCCTCCCTAAGTGCTGGGATTACAGGCTTGAGGCACCGCGCCCGGCCCTTATGTTTTCTTTTATAGAGGGAATGAGGGATGGATGGAATAATTTTTTTTCTTTTTTTCTTTTTGAGGCGGAGTTTTGCTCTTGTTACTCAGGCTGGAGTGCAATAGTGCGATCTTGGCTCACCGTAACCTCTGCCTCCTGGGTTCAGGCAATTCTCCTGCCTCAGCCTCCTGAGTAGCTGGGATTACAGGCACGTGCCACCATGCCCAGCTAATTTTTTGTATTTTTAGTAGAGACAGGGTTTTACCATGTTGGCCAGACTGGTCTTGAACTCCTGTCCTCAAGTGATCTACCCACTTCGGCCTCCCAAAGTGCTGCGATTAAAGTCGTTATCCACTGTGCCTGGCCTATTCTTTTAAAGATGGGGTTTCACCATGTTGGTCAGGCTGGTCTTGAACTTCTGACTTCAGGTGATCCGCCCGCTTTGGCCTCCAAAGTGCTTGGATTACAGGTGTGAGCCACCACGCCTGGCCCACCTGGCCTATTTTTCAATTGTGCCAGGCTGTTCTTGAATTTTTGGGCTCAAGTGATCTGCCCACCTCAGGCTCCCAAAGTGCTAGGATTGAAGGGAGTAAGTCACGACACCTGCCCACCTCCTTTACCTTTACAAATTTCTGCGTGTTCTTGTTTCTTGCCAATTCATTATTTAACTACTACATTAATTCTCATAGTGATCTTCTTTTCTCTTCTCCCCGCCCCCTCCCCCTGCTTTTTTTAGAGGTAGTTTTACTCTTGTCACCCGGGCTGGAGTGAAGTGGCACAATCTTGGATGACTGCAACCTCCGCCTCCTGGGTTCAAGTGATTCTCCTGCCTCAGCCTCCCAAGTAGCTGGATTACAGGTGCTTGCCACCACGCCTAGCTAATTTTTATATTTTTAGTAGATACGGGGTTTCGCCATGTTGGCCAGGCTGGTCTTGAACTCCTGACCTCAGGTGATCCACCTGCCTTGGCCTCCCAGAGTGCTAGGACTATAGGCATGATCTACCGCACCCAGCTCCCACAGTAATTTTTTTATTAAGCTACTTTGAACCAGTAACTAGAAAGTTTGGAACATGGGAAAAGGAATGAAGAAATAGATGGTGTTGGACTGAATATAGATTATTATGCCTATTATAAGGTAATTGCTATGCAAGTAATTTTTATACTATATGTTTTAGGAAATAGTGACCAAAAAGTCTGTACATGTTCAGCACAGATTCAACCATTGTAGACCTCACTACATTTTCCATCCATGGTTACTTGAATCCATGGATGTGGAAACCATGGATCAGGAGGACCTACTGTGTTTCCTTTCTGATATCCAGACTGGAAATACATAAATTGTAGAATAATTTAAAAAAAAAAACCTCATGATCTAGTTAGACCATTTTGGTGTTAACAGTATAACTTCACAGTGGGAAGAACTTGAAAATGGTTTTTTTTTTTTTTTTTTTTTTTTTTTGAGACGGAGTTTCGCTCTTGTTACCCAGGCTGGAGTGCAATGGTGCGATCTCGGCTCACCGCAACCTCCGCCTCCTGGGTTCAGGCAATTCTCCTGCCTCAGCCTCCCGAGTAGCTGGGATTACAGGCACGTGCCACCATGCCCAGCTAGTTTTTTTGTATTTTTAGTAGAGACGGGGTTTCACCATGTTGACCAGGATGGTCTCGATCTTTCGACCTTGTGATCCACCCGCCTCGGCCTCCCAAAGTGCTGGGATTACAGGCTTGAGCCACCGCGCCCGGCGAAAATGTTTTTACAAACTGACCCTTCACTTACTAAGTTGTTTTCCGTCTAATGATATGGCATGATTCTGTCAGTAATATCACCTTTGATTTCATTGTGTTTTTACCATTGTTATAATATTAAGAATACTATTAATGATAGGAAAATATATGTGTATATTAAAAATTTTTTTTACCTTTAAGTTTCTACTTTCTTTTCAGGTATGACAGCAGTTATCTGTACTTACCCTCTTGACATGGTTAGGGTCCGCCTAGCATTCCAGGTGAAAGGGGAACACACCTATACAGGAATTATTCATGCGTTCAGAACTATTTATGCAAAGGTATTTCATACTTACCTTCCTCATCTATAACGTGCCCTTTTATACTTAGGAAAATATTTTGAATGTTATGTAAATAATTATTCTTTTACTTACAATTATTGATGTTAATAACAATAATTATGAAAGCACATCTTTGTGTTTCAGGGTGGATCCCAGCATAATTTTTCTATTATAAAGTGTGATTTTATTTTTGATGTTTATCATAATGAGCACAATGTAATCTCACTTGCAATTTTTCTTCACTCAAAAGGAAGGTGGTTTCTTCGGATTTTACAGAGGCCTGATGCCTACTATTTTAGGAATGGCTCCATATGCAGGTATGTTTCAAATTTGCCAGAATCTTAATATGTACGTTAAAATTTGTTACCTTCTTTTTTTTTTCTGAAATGGTAATATAAAAAGATGCTATCTGTTAAGTACTTTTTTTTTTTTTTTTGAGACGGAGTTTCGCTCTTGTTACCCAGGCTGGAGTGCAATGGCACGATCTCGGCTCACCACAACTTCTGCCTCCTGGGTTCAGGCAATTCTCCTGCCTCAGCCTCCTGAGTAGCTGGGACTACAGGCACACGCCACCATGCCCAGCTAATTTTTGTATATAAAGATGGGGTTTCACGATGTTGGCCGGATTGGTTTTTATTTTATTTTATTTTATTTTTTTAAGATGGCGTTTCACCATGTTCGTCAGGCTGGTCTTGAACTCCCGACCTCAGGTGATCCGCCCACTTTGGCCTCCAAAGTGCTTGGATTACAGGCGTTGGCCACCACGGCCAGCCATTGGTTTTAATCTCTTGGCACCCGCCTTGGCCTCCCAAAATGTTGGGATTACAGGTGTGAGCCATCCCGCCTGACTGGAATTTATTTTATATAGAGAAAAGGTTGAAGAAAGCAGAAACAATGAACAAGCAGGGTGCTCAGTTCACAGTTACTATCCTTGGAAATTGGGGACAGGGTGAATAAAATAGAAAAATCACTAGTTAACTTTAGGTTACATTAGGCTAACTTTTCTGTATACACATTAAAGTAGAAGGAGCCTGGTGTGGTGGCTCTTGATTGTAATCCCAGCACTTTGGGAGGCCAAGGCGGGTGGATCACCTGAGGTCCTGAGTTCAAGACCGGCCTGGCCAATATGGTAAAACCCCACCTATATTAAAAATATAAAAATTACCCAAGCGTGGTGGCACATGCCTGTAATCCCAGCTACTTGGGAGGCTGAGGCAGGAGAATTGCTTGAACCTGGGAAGCAGAAGTTGCAGTGAGCTGAGATCATGGCACTGCACTCCAGCCTGAGTGAAGGTGACTCCATCTCCAAAAAAATAAATAAATAAAGCAGAGGGAAGTTAACTATCAAGTTTATTCAAGATTGAAACTGCCCTGTTAGGGAAATTGGCTGTTACTTCTTTCTTCTAATTTCTCAGGAAGTCAGATAACAATTAGTTTTAGTTTGGTAGTGTGGACCTTAATCATGGGTGACTCTGTTTTGATTTTTAGTCTGGTCTGTTAGGGCCTAGTGCAGGAGCTTCATCCAAAATAATGGCTTCCTAGGTGACAGAGTGAGACCCTGTCTCTAAAAATCAAACAAACAAACAAACAAAAAACAGTGCACTAATAGCAAACTAAAATGTGGTATGGCCAGGCAGGGTGGCTCACATGTATAATCTCAGCACTTTGGGAGGCTGAGGCAGGAGGATTACTTAAGCCCAGGAATTTGAGACCAGCCTTGGCAACATGGGGAGAATCTGTCTCTACAAATAATTTTTTTGTTGTTTGTTTTTCTTTAAGTCTCATGAGATCTGAAACAAATAATTTTTTAAAATTAGCCATACTTGGCTGGGTGCGGTGGCTGAAACCTGTAATCCCAGCACTTTGGGAGGCTGAGGTGGGTGGATCACAAGGTCAAGAGATCGAGACCATCCTGGTCAACATGGTGAAACCCCGTCTCTACTAAAAATACAAAACATTAGCTGGGCATGGTGGCGCATGCCTGTAATCCCAGCTACTCAGGAGGCTGAGGCAGGAGAATTGCCTGAACCCAGGAGGTGGAGGCTGCGGTGAGCCAAGATCGCGCCATTGCACTCCAGCCTGGGTAACAGGAGTGAAACTCCGCCTCAAAAAAAAAAAAAAATTAGCCATACACTTGGTGGTGTATGCCTGTTGTCCCAGCTACTTAACAAGCTGAAAGAAGAGTATTGCCTGAGCCCTGGAGGTTGAAGCTACAGTTAGCTGTGATTATGCCACTGTACTCCAGCCTGAATGACAAAGACCCCGTCCAGTTTGGAAAAAAAAATTTTTTTTTTTGAAACTGGGTCTTTCTGTGTCACCCAGGCTGGAGTACGGTGGCATGATTTCAGCTCACTGCAACCTCTGCCTCCTGGGTTCAAGCGATTCTCCTGTCTCAGCCTCCCAAGTAGCTGGGAATACAGGCACTCGCCACTACTGGGTAATTTTTTTATTTCTAGTACAGATGGGGTTTCATGATGTTAGTCAGGGTGATCTCGAACTCCTGACCTCAGTTGGTTCACCCACCTCAGCCTCCCAAAATGCTGGGATCATAGGCATGAGCCACTGCACCCGGCCTTTTTTTTTTTTTTTTTTGTAGCTGTTCTAGTGGTTCAGAAATTCAAATTTTAAGGTAGTTGAATGCATCAATCTATTCTTTTACAGATAGTCCTTAATTGTGTCAAAAATATTTTTTCTTCTGAGAATGATTTTTAATGTTTAGCCTTTTATATGTATGCCCCTAATCTGTTTGGAAGTATTTGTTTTCTTTGTAAAGGAATTTTTGTTTTTTCTTCACTTCTGACCTTGCACCATTTTATTTAATATTCTCTTCTTGGCTGGGCATGGTGGCTCATGCCTGTAATCCCAGAACTTTGGGAGGCTGAGGCAGGCAGATCACCTGAGGTTGGAAGTTTGATACCAGTCTGATCAACATGGAGAAACCCCGTCTCTACTAAAAATACAAAAAATTAGCTGGGAGTGATGGCACATGCCTGTAATCTCAGCTACTCGGGAGGCTGAAGCAGGAGAATTGCTTGAACCCGGGAGGGTTAGGTTGCAGTGAACCGAGATCACACCATTGTACTCCAGACTGGGCAAAAAAGTGAAACTCTGTTTCAAAAAAAAAAAAAAAAAAAGATTATAAGAATTTTATATTGAGATATTATCCTAAACTGAATATTTGTTGGTACTCACATCTTTTTAAGCAAACATTAACTGTTTTTTTAAGGCTGGGCACTGATTTAACAACTATAATCCCACCACTTTGAGAGTCCAAGATGGGAGGATCCCTTGGAGCCAAGCCTTTGAGACCAGCCTGGGAAGCAAAGCAAGACCTCCATATCTACAAAAGATTTCGAAAGTTATCTGGCCATGGTGGCACAATGCCATAATTACAGCTACTCAAGAGGCTGAGGTGGGAGGATCACTTGAGCCCAGGAGTTTGAGGCTGCAGTGAGGTACTACGGCACTCCGGCCTGGGTGACAGAGTGAGACCCTCTCTCTTTAAGGAAATAAAGTATCTTTATATATATATTTTTTTCATTTTTTTAAAATTTATTTTTATTTATTTATTTATTTATTTATTTTTTTGAGATGGAGTTTCGCCCTTGTTACCCAGGCTGGAGTGCAATGGCACGATCTCGGCTCACCGCAACCTCCGCCTCCTGGGCTCAGGCAGTTCTCCTGCCTCAGCCTCCTAAGTAGCTGGGATTACAGGCACACGCCACCATGCCCAGCTAATTTTTTGCACCTTTAGTAGAGACGGGGTTTCACCATGTTGACCAGGATGGTCTCGATCTCTCGACCTCGTGATCCACCCGCCTCGGCCTCCCAAAGTGCTGGGATTACAGGCTTGAGCCACCGCGCCCGGCAATTTTTCAATGTAATAAATATCACAATATCTTTTTTTTCTTTTTTGAGATAAGGTCTTACTCTGTTGTCCAGGTGTGATCTTGGCTCCGCCTCCCGTGTTCAAGAGATTTTGTTGCCTTAGCTTCCTGAGTAGCTACTATAGGTGTCCACCACCATGCACAGCTAATTTTTGTTCTTTTTTGTTTTTTTTTGAGATGGAATCTTGCTCTGTTGCCCAGGCTGGAGTGCAGTGGCGTGATCTCAGTTCACTGCAACCTCTGCTTCCCAGGTTCTTGTAATTCTTCTGCCTCAGCCTTCCAAGTAGCTGAGATTACAGGCACATGCCGCCATGCCCAGCTAATTTCTTTGTATTTTAGTAGAGATGAGGGTTTCACCATATTGGCCAGGTGGTCTTGATCTCCTGACCTTGTGATTCGCCTGCCTCCCAAAGTACTTGGATTACAGGCCTGAGCCACTGCGCCTGGCCATCTTTTTTTTTTTTTTTCCCCCAGATGGAATCTTACTCTGTCACCCATGCTGGAGTGCCATAGCATGATCTCTGCTCACTGCAACCTCCCCTTCCCCGTGTCAAGCCATTCTCCTGTCTCAGCCTCCCAAGTAGCTGGGATTACAAGCATGTGCCACTGCGCCTGGCTAGTTTTTGTATTTTTTTTTTTTTTTGAGACGGAGTTTCGCTCTTGTTACCCAGGCTGGAGTGCAATGGCGCGATCTCGGCTCACCGCAACCTCCGCTTCCTGGGTTCAGGCAATTCTCCTGCCTCAGCCTCCTGAGTAGCTGGGATTACAGGCACGTGCCACCATGCCCAGCTAATTTTTTGTGTGTTTTTAGTAGAGACGGGGTTTCACCATATTGACCAGGACGGTCTCGATCTCTTGACCTCGTGATCCACCCGCCTCAGCCTCCCAAAGTGCTGGGATTACAGGCTTGAGCCACCACGCCCGGCTAGTTTTTGTATTTTTAGTAGAGACGGGTTTCACCATTTTGGTCAGGGTGGTCTTGAACTCCTGGTCTCAAGTGGTCCACCCACATGGGCCTCTCAAAGTGCTGGGATTACAGACGTGAGCCACTGCACCTGGTCAATTCAATAAACATCACAATATCTTTTTTTTTTTAGACCGAGTTTCGCTCTTGTTACCCAGGCTGGAGTGCAATGGCGCGATCTTGGCTCACCGCAACCTCCGCCTCCTGGGTTCAGGGAATTTTCCTGCCTCAGCCTCCTGAGTAGCTGGGATTACAGGCACGCGCCACCATGCCCAGCTAATTTTTTGTATTTTTAGTAGAGACAGGGTTTCACCATGTTGACCAGGATGGTCTTGATCTCTCGACCTTGTGATCCGCCCGCCTCGGCCTCCCAAAGTGCTGGGATTACAGGCTTGAGCCACTGCGCCCGGCAACATCACAATATCTTGAGTAATCGTTAATTGGGAGGACTGCTTGATTTTCATATTTATTGATAAACATCTTTAATGGTTCTATTAAAATCATGTAATGTTTAACAAGTACTACCTGCATATTGTTTTTGTTAGATTCTCTGTGTTGTATGAACCAACATAAATGCTTCTCTCATAGTCACAATTCTTCCTTGAAGACAAACTTAGATACTGAGTTAAAATAACAATGCTTTTTCACTTCTGAATTTTTTGCCTGTATGTTACATTATCACTATCATTGTTATTTTAAATGTAAGTTATTACATTTCCTTTAATTAATAATCATGAGTGGCCAGGCGTTGACTCATGCCTGTAATCCTAGCACTTTGGGAGGCCGAGGCAGGTGGATCACGAGGTCAGGAGATCGAGACCATCCTGGCTAACACAGTGCAACCCCGTCTCTACTAAAAATACAAAAAATTAGCCAGGTGTGGTGGCACACACCTGTATTCCCAGCTAATTGGGAGGCTTAGGCAGGAGACTCGCTTGAATTTGGGAGCCAAGATTTTTTTTTTTTTTTTTTTTTTTTTTTTTTTTTTTTTTGAGACGGAGTTTCGCTCTTGTTACCCAGGCTGGAGTGCAATGGCACGATCTCGGCTCACCGCAACCTCCGCCTCCTGGGTTCAGGCAATTCTCCTGCCTCAGCCTCCTGAGTAGCTGGGATTACAGGCACGCGCCACCATGCCCAGCTAATTTTTTGTATTTTTAGTAGAGACGGGGTTTCACCATGTTGACCAGGATGGTCTCGATCTCTCGACCTCGTGATCCACCCGCCTCGGCCTCCCAAAGTGCTGGGATTACAGGCTTGAGCCACCACGCCCGGCCCCCTGGGAGCCAAGATTGAGCCATTGCACTCCAGCCTGGGCAACAGAGCCAGACTCCGTCTCAAAAATCTCATTCAGGGCCGGGCGCGGTGGCTCACGCCTGTAATCCCAGCACTTTGGGAGGCCGAGGCGGGTGGATCACGAGGTCAAGAGATCAAGACCATCCTGGTCAACATGGTGAAACCTCGTCTCTAGTAAAAATACAAAAAATTAGCTGGGCATGGTGGCGCGTGCCTGTAATCTCAGCTACTCGGGAGGCTGAGGCAGGAGAATCGCCTGAACCCAGGAGGTGGAGGTTGCGGTGAGCCGAGGTCGCGCCATTGCACTCCAGTCTGGGTAACAAGAGCGAAACAACGTCTCAAAAAAAAAAAAAAAAGAAAACCAAAGCTATAATTTTTTGTTGGTGGTAATTTTGTTGTCTTTAGGTTATTTGTATACACAAATGTTTTTATTTTAGATTAATCCAAACATTAGAAACTAGGAAATGTGGTTATTATATCAGAATGGTGTCTGTCACAGCTCATGTTCTGTTCAGCATCCTGATGAATTTATTTTTTGTTTTCCAGGTGTTTCATTTTTCACTTTTGGTACTTTAAAGAGTGTTGGGCTTTCCCATGCCCCTACCCTTCTTGGCCGACCTTCATCAGACAATCCCAATGTCTTAGTTTTGAAAACTCACATAAACTTACTTTGTGGTGGTGTTGCTGGAGCAATAGCACAGACAATATCGTAAGTTTATTCACCAACTTAATTCAGTCAAATTACAGTTACCCAGTCCTGATTTTCAACGTGGATTAATCATTTATTTTTCTTTTTTTTTTTTTTTTTTTTTTTTTTTTTGAGACGGAGTTTCGCTCTTGTTAACCCAGGCTGGAGTGCAATGGCATGATCTCGGCTCACCGCAACCTCCGCCTCCTGGGTTCAGGCAATTCTCCTGCCTCAGCCTCCTGAGTAGCTGGGATTACAGGCACACGGCACCATGCCCAGCTAATTTTTTGTATTTTTAGTAGAGACGGGGTTTCACCATGTTGACCAGGCTGGTCTCGATCTCTTGACCTCGTCATCCACCCGCCTCGGCCTCCCAAAGTGCTGGGATTACAGGCTTGAGCCACCGCGCCCGGCCTAATCATTTATTTTTCTAATAGATTATTCAAAAGGAGGATCCCTCGTAAAATATAAATATTAACTTAATACTTTTTTTTAGATGTATGTGCACTTTAAGCATATGACAAATAATGGCAAATTTGGATGCAGTAGTGCTGCCTGTTGTCCCACCTGCTTGGGGACTGTGTAGGAGGATTGCTCGAGCCCAGGAGTTTGAGGCCAGTCTGGGAGACATAGTGAGACCCTGTTCCTAAGAAAAAAAAAGAAAGAGGCCAGGCGCTTTAAGGAAAAGAAAGAAAGAGGCTCATGCCTATGATCCCAGCACTTTCGCACTAGGTCAAGAGATGAGACCATCTTGGCCAACATGGTGAAACCCTGTGTCTACTAAAAATACAAAAATTAGGTGGGTGTGGTGGTGGGTGCCTGAAATCCCAGCTGCTTGGATGCTGAGGGAGTGAATTTCTTGAAGCCTGGAGGTGGAGGTTGCAGTGAGCCAAGATTGCACCACTGTGCTCCATCCTCGGTGACAGAGCAAGACTGTCTCAAAAATAAAAAAGATTCCATTTGTATATTGTGTATTTAACTTCAGGCAATGCCAACATGAAATGCAATTATCTGTATTATCAGTTTTAGTCCTTAAGGAAAACTTTGTATTGGTCTGCTGTAATCAAGGGGACTTGCTGCATAACCTTAGAACAGTTCTCAACTGGGAATGATTTTATTGCCAGTGGACATTTGTTAATGTCTGGAGACATTTTTGGTTTTCACACCTGGCAGAGTGCTACTGGCATCTAGTGAGCAGAGGTCAGGTATTCGCTTAAACATCTGCAGTACACAGGGCAGTTCCCCACAACCAAGGATGATTGAACCCAAAATGTCAATAGTGCTAATGTTGAGAAACCCTCTATTAGCATTCAACAATGAAAAGCAACCATTTTGTTTCTTCAGGAAGTATCATTTAATTTGGCCTTTAGGAATGAACAGAACTTGATGGGAGAGAAGAATCCTCTAATGAGAGGGATCACATAAGCAAAGATGTCTCTATTGTTAATTGATTTTATTCATGTGCCTGTATCCTGACTCCTAGGTTAAACAGAAGAATAAGAACAGTAAGACATTGTTTCTTTGATTTTATAGGGCTCTGTACTCAATAGTTGTTGAGTAGAAAACTACAAGTTTTTAATTCTTTATGCCTTTTTTTTCCCCTTCCCCTTCCCCTCACCCCCCCACCCGCCCCTGCACCTTTTTTTCTTTTAGCTACCCATTTGATGTAACTCGTCGGCGAATGCAATTAGGAACTGTTCTGCCAGAATTTGAAAAGTGCCTGTAAGTTCATCATATGTCATTGTTCATTTTCTTTAGGAAATGTAACATTAAAGTCAGTAAGGAGATAGGACTCTAGTTTGACCAATAGTCTGTATCTTCCATTTTCTCTCCCAAAGTTTATTGTTTATTTTGGTAACTTTATAAGATTACAATCAGGGTTTTTTTTCTTTTTTTTTGAGATGTAGTCTTACTTGATTGCCCAGGGTGGAGTGTAGTGGTGTGATCTTGGCTAACTGCAACCTCCACCTCCCCAGTTCAAGTGATTCTCCTGCCTCAGCCTCCCAAGTAGCTGGGATTACAGGTACCCACTACCACGCCTGGCTAATTTTTGTATTTTTTTTTTTTGTATTTTTTATTTATTTTTTATTTTTTTTATTTTTATTTTTATTTTTTTCTGAGACGGAGTTTCGCTCTTGTTACCCAGGCTGGAGTGCAATGGCGCGATCTCGGCTCACCGCAATCTCCGCCTCCTGGGTTCAGGCAATTCTCCTGCCTCAGCCTCCTGAGTAGCTGGGATTACAGGCACGCGCCACCATGCCCAGCTAATTTTTTGTATGTTTAGTAGAGACGGGGTTTCACCATGTTGACCAGGTTGGTCTCGATCTCTTGACCTTGTGATCCACCCGCCTCGGCCTCCCAAAGTGCTGGGATTACAGGCTTGAGCCACCGCGCCCGGCTAATTTTTGTATTTTTAGTAGAGACAAGATTTCACCATGTTGGCCAGGCTGGTCTCAAACTCCTGATCTCAAGTGATCTGCCTGCTTCAGCTTACCAAAGTGCTGTGATTACAGGTATGAGCCACCTTGCCTGGCCTACAGTCAGGTTCTAATCCTCCTGTTAAAATTGAATTTGGGCTGGGCACGATAGCTCATGCCTGCAATCCCAGTACTTTGGGAAGCCGAGGAGGGCAAATCACCTGACGTCAGGAATTTGAGACCAGCCTGGCTAACATGGTGAAATACATCTGTACTGAAAATACAAAAATTAGCCAGATGTGGTGGTGGGCAGCTGTAATCCAGCTACTAGGGAGGCGGAGGTTGCAGTTAGCAAAGATAGTGCTACTGTATTCCAGCCTGGGCAACAGAGTGAGACTCTGTTTCAGAAAACAAAAAAACAGCTGGGTGGCTCCTGCCTGTAATACCAGCCGTTTGAGAGGCCGAGGCAGGCAGATCACGAGGTCAAGAAATCGAGACCATCCTGACCAACATGGTGAAACCATGTCTCTACTAAAAATACAAAAATTAGTTGGGCATGGTGGCGCATACGTGTATCCCAGCTACTCGGGAGCTGAGGCAGGAGAATTGCTTGAACCAGGTGGTGGGGGTTGCAGTGAGTCGATTGCACCACTGCACTACAGCCTGGCTACAGAGTGAGACTCCGTCTCAATTAAAAAATAAATATTACTCAGGAAGCTGAGGCAGGAGAATTGCTTGAATCCAGGAAGTGGAAGTTGCAGTGAACCGAGGTTGTACCACTGTACTCTAGCCTGGGTGACAAAGTGAGAATCTGTCTCAAACAAAACAAAAGAAAAAATATATATGTAATTGTGAAAAATATTTTTTGTTTAACCTTAAATATCTAAAATATCACCTCAACATTTCTCTCTTTCTCTCTTTCTCTCTCTCTCTCTCTCTCTCTCTCTCTCTCTCTCTGTGTGTGTGTGTGTGTGTGTGTGTGTGTGTGTGTGTGTGTATTTTTGTGATGGAGTCTCACTTTGTTACGCAGGCTGGAGTGCAGTAATATGATCTCGGCTCACTGCAACCTCTGCCTCTTTGGATCAAGTGATTCTCCTGCCTCAGCCTCCTGAGTAGCTGGAATTACAGGTGTGTGCCACTACACCTGGCTAATTTTTGTATTTTTAGTAGAGACAGGGTTTCACCATGCTGGCCAGACTGGTCTCGAACTCCTGACCTCAAGTCATCCACTCATCTCAGCCCCCCAAAGTGTTGGGATTACAGGTGTGAGCCACCATGCCAGGCCTCTATATATATGTATGTATTTTATACTAAGTATTTGAAATCCAAGATTTATTTAATACTCATAGCCCATCTTGATTTGGACTGCCATATTTCAAATGCTCAATAGCCATATGTGTCTAGTGGCTACTGTTATTGTACAGCACAGCTGAGAGTTTTCTTCTTCTTTTTTTTTTTTTTTTTGAGACAGAGTTTCACTCTTGTTACCCAGGCTGGAGTGCAATGGCGCGATCTCGGCTCACCGCAACCTCCGCCTCCTGGGTTCAGGCAATTCTCCTGCCTCAGCCTCCTGAGTAGCTGGGATTACAGGCACGTGCCACCATGCCCAGCTAATTTTTTGTATTTTTAGTAGAGATGGGGTTTCACCATGTTGACCAGGATGGTCTCGATCTCTTGACCTCGTGATCCACCCACCTCGGTCCCCCAAAGTGCTGGGATTACAGGCTTGAGCCACCGTGCCCAGCTCCACAGTTTTCTTAGTAGAGATTTAGAACCATTCCATTTGATTGGTGATAAGTTGTCTGTCAGGGAAGGAGCAGAACATTTGTTCATGAACTTGGGTTGCCTTGTTCACTAAAAAGATTTTTTTGGGGAGGGGCCGTTGCCTCATACCTGCGGTATCCAGCTACCTGAGAGGCTGAGGTAGGAGGTTCACTTGAGGCCAGGAGTTTGAGACCAGTCTGGAAAACATTGTAAGATCTTGTCTCTAAAAAGTTTTTTCTTTTTGAGACGGAGTTTCACTCTTGTTACCCAGGCTGGAGTGCAATGGCGCAATCTCGGCTCACCGCAACCTCGGCCTCCCGGGTTCAAGCAATTCTCCTGCGTCAGCCTCCTGAGTAGCTGGGATTACAGGCACGGGCCACCATGCCCAGCTAATTTTTTGTATTTTTAGTAGAGACGGGGTTTCACCACATTGACCGGGATGGTCTCGATCTCTTGACCTTGTGATCCACCCGCCTTGGCCTCCCAAAGTGCTGGGATTACAGGCTTGAGCCACCGCGCCCGGTCGAAAAAATTTTAACTAAAAAAAAAAAAAAAGCCAGGTGCGGTGGCTCAAGCCTGTAATCCCAGCACTTTGGGAGGCCGAGGCAGGTGGATCACAAGGTCAAGAGATCGAGACCATCCCGGTCAATGTGGTGAAACCCCGTCTCTACTAAAAATACAAAAACATTAGCTGGGCATGGTGGCACGTGCCTGTAATCCCAGCTACTCAGGAAGCTGAGGCAGGAGAATTGCCTGAACCCGGGAGGCGGAGGTTGTGGTGAGCCGAGATCGCGCCATTGCACTCCAGCCTGGGTATCAAGAGCGAAACTCCGTCTCAAAAAAAAAAAAAAAAAAAAAAAAATTAGTGAGTCACGGTGATGTGTGCCTGTAGTCCCAGCTACTCAAGAGGCTGAGGTGGGAGGATTGCTTGTGCTCAGGAGTTAGAGGCTGTTGTGAGCTGTGATTGCCACTGCACTCCAGCCTGAGCAACAAAGTGAGAACATGTCTCTTAAAAAAAAAAAAGATTTTTGAAAATATTTTAGTTCAGATTATCTATTGAAAGCAAAAGGCCAAGCCCAAATTACTGGTTTGAAAGGAAAGGAACAACTCTGAAACAGGAACATCTTCTAGGGGCATGGTGACTTGTGCCTGTAGTCCCAGCTACTTGGGAGGCTGAGGCAGAAGTGCCTCAACCCAGGAAGTGGAAGTTGCAGTGAACCGAGATCGAGCCACTGCACTCCAGCCTGGGCGACAGAGCAAGACTCCATCTCAAAAAGAAAAATACAAAAGTTAGCTGGGTGTGCTGGTGTGTGCCTGTAGTCCCAGCTACTCAAGAGGCTGAGGCAGGAGAATTGCTGGAACCCAGGAGACAGAGTTTGCATTGAGCCGAGATCATGCCACTGTACTCCAGCCTGGGTGGCAGGGTGAGACTCTGTCCAAAAAAAAAAAAAAAACTATTCAAGATGGTATTTAAGCTTCTTTAAACATTGATATGGGCCAGGCGAGATGGCTCACGCCTGTTATCCCACAGTTTGGGAGGCTGAGGTGAGTGGATCACTTGAGATCATGAGTTCGAAACCAGCCTGTCCAACATGGCAAAACCCCGTGTTTACATAAAATACAAAATTAGCTGGGCATGGGTGGTACATGACTGTAATCCCAGCTACTCGGGAGGCTGAGGCAGGAGAATTGCTTGAACCTGGGAGGCAGAGGTTGTAGTGAGCCAAGATCGTGCCACTGCACTCCAGCCTGGGCAACAAGAGCAAAACTCCATCTCAAAAAAAAGAAAAAGATTACAACAGTTGTAGCCAGGCACGGTGGCTCACGCCTGTAACCCCAGCACTTTGGGAGGCTGAGAGGGCTCAGATCGAGACCATCCTGCCAGCTTGGTGAAACCCTGTCTCTACTAAAATACAAAAATTAACTGGGCGTGGTGACACACCCCTGTAATCTCAGCTACTCAGGAGGCTTAGGCAGGAGAATTGCTTGAACCTAGGAGATGGAGGCTGCAGTGAGCTACGATCCTGCCACTGTAATCCATCTTCGAACCTGGGCAACAGAGGAGAGTTTGTCTCAAAAAACAAAATTGATATTATGGATCCTGAAATTGTTACTTCATGAGTGGCTATAGCGGTTTCATCATTTTATCATTGTCTTTCAGTACCATGCGGGATACTATGAAGTATGTCTATGGACACCATGGAATTCGGAAAGGACTCTATCGTGGTTTATCTCTCAATTACATTCGCTGCGTTCCCTCTCAAGCAGTAGCTTTTACAACATATGAACTTATGAAGCAGTTTTTTCACCTCAACTGAAAAAAAATCATGGTTTGTTTTTCTTAATACATTCTCAGAGGGAGAAATGAAATGTTACTTTAATTGTGGGGGGAACAGTACTTGAATGGGGATAGTTACCCTGTCACAGGAACCACTGGTATTTTAGTACTTGATTATTTTTTCTTTAGTCACAAATCAGAAGTGCTTACTATACTTCTTGATGCCAAACATTATACCTTAGAACACTGAAAAAATATATATATATATATTTTTTTTTTTTGAGACAGAGTTTCGCTCTTGTTACCCAGGCTGGAGTGCAACGGCGCAATCTCAGCTCACCGCAACCTCCGCCTCCTGGGTTCAGGCAATTCTCCTGCCTCAGCCTCCTGAGTAGCTGGGATTACAGGCACGCGCCACCATGCCCAGCTAATTTTTGTATTTTTAGTAGAGACGGGGTTTCACCACGTTGACCAGGATGGTCTTGATCTCTTGACCTCACGATCCACCCGCCTCGGCCTCCCAAAGTGCTGGGATTACAGGCGTGAGCCACTGCGCCCTGAAAAAATATTTTTAAGCTGATGGTGGCTAAACTGCTTTAAAAGATTTATTTGGAAGTAGAACTAGCTTTAAAATGGGGTTCAAGAGGTTGCCATTAGCTTCTTCTTGCTGTCCAAAGTTTTTTTTTTTTTTTTTTTTTTCTTTGAGACAGAGTCTTACTCTGTGGTCTAGGCTGGAGGCAATGGCATGATCTTGGGTCACTGCATCCTCCGCCTCCTTGGTTCAAGCAATTCTCTGCCTCAGCCTCCCAAGTAGCTGGGATTATAGGCATCCACCACCACGCTTAGCTAATTTTTTGTATTTTCAGTAGAGATGGGGTTTCACCATCTTGGCCAGGTTGGTCTTGAAGTCCTGACCTCATGATCCACTCCGTCTCAGCCTCCCAAAGTGCTGGAATTACAGGCATGAGCCACCGTGACTGCCTGTTCAAAGTTTTAAATTGTATTCTTGGTTTTTAAAAGACTGAAAGTGTTTATTATTATTAAAATAAGCTGTGTTGCTTATATTGCAGTAGAATAATGAGAACTGAATTTTTTTTTTTTTTTTTTTTTTTTTTTTTTTTGAGACGGAGTTTCGCCCTTGTTACCCAGGCTGGAGTGCAATGGCGCAATCTCGGCTCACCGCAACCTCCGCCTCCTGGGTTCAGGCAATTCTCCTGCCTCAGCCTCCTGAGTAGCTGGGATTACAGGCACGAGCCACCATGCCCAGCTAATTTTTTGTATTTTTAGTAGAGACGGGGTTTCACCATGTTGACCAGGATGGTCTCGATCTCTCGACCTTGTGATCCACCCGCCTCGGCCTCCCAAAGTGCTGGGATTACAGGCTTGAGCCACCGTGCCTGGCTGAGAACTGAATTTTTAAGTTCTATGAAGCAGCCAGCATTGAAGTTTTATTTTTGTTATTGCTCTTCTCACCATTCTGCTCCACTGGATAATAGAGAATACTCTTTTTCCTTCATTTTTTAAATAAAATTAAGGTTATATTTAAAAAGTAGCCATGTAGAAACTCAAAAAAAAATGAAGAAGCTAGGCACTGTAGCATGGGCGTGTGGTCCCAGCTACTCTGGAAGCTGAGGTGGGAGGTTCACTTGAGCCCTGGAATTTCATGCCAGCCTGTGCAACATCATGAGACCCCATTTAATAAATGAATGAATGACTAAGTTTTGCTCAAATGTTATTACTAGGTACTATGAGTGACTTCCATGTGTTTTAAAAAGTCAGTGTGTTTCACAGAAGCAGAAACAAAAATACTGAACATCTTTGCTCTCAAAAACAAAGTAGCATTACAGATTTGTTTTTGTTAGATGATTTGCTGTATATAAGAATATTTATTTAAGTAGGCTGTGAAATATTTATTAATATAGATGTGAATATCAAAAAATGTTTCTAAGGTATGATGTCATGATGCATCAACTAGTTCTTCCATGTAAAATAATTTTAGTGCAATATAAAGATGTAGAAATTTAAAATATGATTTGAATTGTTATACTTTATATTAAGAAAATGGTTTAAAATGTAACGATTCCATTTACTGTGTTTAGAGTACTTTTTATGATTTATTATAAGCATGGCAGAAATAGGAAGGAAACATTTAAAGTTCTATCTTCAGAAAGAGTAATTTGTAGAATTGATGTGATTTTTTAAGACATTAAAAGGCCAGGCATGGTGGCTCATAACGTTTATTCCCAGCACTTTGGGTGGCTGAGTCAGGTGGATCACCTGAGATCAGGAGTTCAAGACCAACATGGTGAAACCCACCTCTACTAAAAATAGAAAAATTAGCCAGCATGTTGGCATGTGCCTGTAGTCCCAGCTACTTGGGAGGCTGAGACTTGAGTCAGGGAGGTGGAGGTTGCAATGAGCTGAGATCATACCACTGCATTCCAGTCTGGGTGACAGAGTGAGACTCCATCTCAAAAGAAAAAAAAGACATTAGAAAACTAAGTTGAGGCCAGGAGTGTTGGCTCTCGCGTGGAATCCCAGCACTTTGGGAGGCCGAGGCAGGTGGATATCTTGACCCCAGGAGTTCGAAACCAGCCTGGGTAACATAGTGAGACCCCGTCTCTTTCAAACAAATGACAGAAAACTAAGTTGAAAGTTTTGCTTCAATTTTTATTTCTTTGCATAAAAGGTTTCTTGTCATATCTTGGTAAAAATTTGATGAGCTGGTTTCACTTTGAAAGTCTTCATTTTGGCTGGGCATAGTGGCTCACACCTGTAATCCAGCATTTTCGGAGGCTGAGGCAGGTGGATCACCTGAGGTCAGGAGATTGAGACCAGCCTAGCCAACATTTAGAAACCCCATTTCTACTAAAAGTATAAAAATTAGCCTGGGCTAGTGGTGGGCACCTGTAATCCTAGCTACTTGGGAGGCTGAGACAGGGAGAATTGGTTGAACCTAAGTGGCAGAGGTTGCAGTGAGCTGTGCCACTGCTCTCCAGTCTGAGCGGCAGAGCAAGACTCTGTCTCAAAAAAAAAGAAAAGAAAAAGGAAGGCCGGGCGTGGTGGCTCAAGCCTGTAATCCCAGCACTTTGGGAGGCCGAGGCGGGTGGATCACGAGGTCAAGAGATCGAGACCATGCTGGTCAACATGGGGAAACCCCGTCTCTACTAAAAATACAAAAAATTAGCTGGGCATGGTGGTGTGTGCCTGTAATCCCAGCTACTCAGGAGGCTGGTGCAGGAGAATTGCCTGAACCCAGGAGGCGGAGGTTGCAGTGAGCCGAGATCGCGCCATTGCACTCCAGCCCGGGTAACAAGAGCAAAACTCCGTCTCAAAAAAAAAAAAAAAGAAAAGAAAAAAGAAATACATGTGTTCTTCAAACCATTTTGTGTAGTTTCATTTCTAGACCACACTGTGGTTAATTATTCTTACTAAATCTTAAGATAATTTAAGTATGTAAAATAAGTATTGGGTCAGGCGTGGTGGCTCATGCCTGTAATCCCAGCACTTTGGGAGGCCGAGGTGGGTGGATCATGAGGTCAGGAGATTGAGACCATGCTGGCTAACCGTGAAACCCCCATCTCTACTAAAAGTACAAAAAATTAGCCAGCTGTGGTGGCACACACCTGTAGTCCCAACTACTCAGGAGGCTGAGGCAGGAAGAATGCTTGAACCCAGAGATGGAGGTAGTAGTGAGCTGAGATCGCGCCACTGCAGTCCAGCGTGGGCGACAGAGCAAGACACCGTCTCAAAAAAACAAAAAAGAAAAAAAGAAAAAGCATCTCAGTTATGTTATCAGTAAAAGGGGATTGCAATTATTTTTTAAATAAAAATTTGTATTCTATATCTGTTATAGAATACAGAGGATATTAAAAATTAATTTTATCCATGTGTTAACAATTTCTTTTAATTGTTTACATGTTGAAGCACAGATGCTAAACGTAAGTCAGAATGGAAGACTGTTTAAAATAATGACTTTGTTTATATCTGATTTATTTCAGATAGATTACCCAAAGTACATCTAGTCAGGTTATCTTCCATTTGAAGATTGAGATTTTACGTCTTTTTTGATCTTTATTGTTCCTCTCTTCCAGCTGTCAGTGGGTATAGCTCTCTGGTCTGTAGAATTGGACAGTGGTTTGGTCTACGGATTGATAAATGAGGTTTGCCTCCTAGTTTTTAATGATTCCCTGTAGAAGATGGAGAAGTTACTGGATATATTTAATAATATCTCATTAGATTCTTTTTTTTTTTTTCTAATGATAGTTTTACTTGGTTGCCAAGCTGGAGTGCAGTAGCGTGATCTTGGCTCACTATAACCTCCACCTCCCGGGTTCAAACGATTCTCCTTTGTCATCTTTCTAAGTAATGAGATTACAGCCATGTGCTACCACGTCTAGCTGAGTTTTATATTTTTCTTTTTTCTTTTCTTTTTTTTTTTTTTGAGACAGAGCCTTCACTCTGTCACCCAGGTTGGAGTGCAGTGGTGTGATCTCAGCTCACTGTAACTGCCACCTCCTGGGTTCTAGTGATTTTCCTGCCTTAGTCTCCCAAGTAACTGGGATTACAAGCATCCACCACCATGCTCAGCTAATTTTTGTATTTTTAGTAGAGCCAGTTTTCACCATGTTGGCCAGGCTGGTCTCAAATGCCTGACCTCAAGTGATCCACCCACCCTGGCTTCTCAAAATGCTGGGATTACAGGCATGAGTCAGTGCACCTGGCCTCATTCCATTCTTCACCATGCTACTGACCATTCATTTATTTAGCACCACTTGTGTGCCAGATGTTGTGTCAGCATTATGGAGAACTTCCCTTGGGAAGTTTGTTAGCTGTACTTGCAATCTGATTGGATTCCCAAATCAGGATATAACACCAGATATTTCCCCAACAGAGATGTGCCACACTTTATGATAACTGCCTGTTTACCAATATTTCCACCTCTCCCCATCTGGTTTTTTCAAGGGCAGGGAGCATAGGGTGTGTGGTGTCACTGTGGTACTCAGTGATGTTTACTGTTGGGAGGAAGGAAGGATCAGTCCCTGTTTTTGGAGACTTTATGTTCTAGCAGGGAGAAATGAAGCACAAATAGTTCAAGAAATAAACAATTTAGAAATAAAGTCTCTGGGCGCAGTGGTGTGTGCCTGTAGTCCCAGCTACTCGGGAGGCTGAGGTGGGAGGATCCCTTGAGCCCAGGAGTTCTGTGATGTAGTGCACTATGCCGATTGGGTGTCTACACTAAGTTCGGCATCAATATGGTGACATCCCAGGAGTGGGGGACCACCAGGTTGC